GTTTGTAGGAGATGTTGGGTAGAATTTCGCTGGAGAGAACGGCAATATGCGTGGCAGGACCAGGGCGAAAAGCGAGACTTGACCCAAGACTGACGTTTTCCGACTAGATCGCAGAGAAAAATAGTCAGAGGCATCACTCAGCCAAGAAGCGAGGTTGACCCAGAAACTAATTCCCGACTAGATCGTAGAGGACAGCAGTGAGAGCCAGTACTCAGCATGACGCGGAGCAAGATCCACCAAATGCGTTCCTCCGAAGAGATCACTCAAGACCATTTCAGTGGCACAACACGAACTTTGAAGTTTCACGGCGTGAGCAGAAGAGAAATTTTGGATGTCCAACTGTATTTTATTTTGTTTTGGTACAGCAGTCACCCCTGTGCAGAACCGGGGGGAGTGTTGTGGCATGTGATTCTCCTCAGGAGTGCTGTTTTATAAGGAACTGATTGTGCCACCATCTTCCCTTCCGAACGCGCGACCTGCCCTCCACCGCTGCCGAGTCAATCCTTCTGGAGCGACAATTGTGGTCTCCCCCAACGAAGGCGGACGATTTGCTGACGATGCTCCAGCCGCGGCCAGCCGGACGAAGAGCACAGAAGGCGACCGCGGCGGAGGCGAGCGAAAATCCGCGGGGGAGAAACAATGGCAGGGGCAGTGGTCCAATGCGCTGGGGTTTATGGCTGGAAAAGTAGGCGCATTGAGGTTCATCTTGAATTTGAGTTAGTTTGAGATTTGGCGTTTGTTTTGTTTGATTTGAGCTTGGGTTTGGTTTTTCAGATCTGATTGAAGTGTGGATGAGAGGATCAGAAGTACTTTTCTTTGATTTTCGGCACCTCTCGTATTGTTTTTCGGCTTGACTCCGACCCCTTCACAAAGCAGGGGGGCGGATCCTCGGAGCAGGGGGGCACGTTATATTCTTTCAAACGAAATGGCGTTGCTGACATTTCTTCACCGAACATTCATGATATATTTTGAGTATTTCAGGGAGATATTAATTCTTCGCGTTTTACCTGCGGACGAAGGTTTGGTGGATTAATGGAATAATTTGTCTTAGGATTGCATACATCTTGGTAATGGTAGGATATCTAGCTAGGCGGATTTAGAGACGCACCGAAAAATTGTGACGAATTGGCGGTGAAAGGAAAGGCGTCTTTGAACGGCGTTCATTTTTTTCTGGATGAAAAGAGTTTGAGTTGAGAATTTCCAGAAGAGAGCGAGAGTGATTGGCGTGTGTTAGTATGCTCTTTGGATACTTTTGTCGTGTCTGAAGTATTTCGTTTTCTTGGTTTTGATTGTGTTTTGGGATGAACTGGTATGAGAAGGATGACTATGATATTTTCCCGGAGCATGACGATGCATACGAGTAGGGGGGCTATTCGATATACTCGTGGCATAGCATGCGGGTGGTATATTGCGTATAGATATGCGGGTATTGCAGTGACGAACTACGGAGGGACAAAAAGTTTCTTTATGTTTTCCTTAGGAGTGTGGTAGATTGGTGGAGATTCATGAAGGTTCGTTTTGGGTATTTGAGCGTTAAGCGTGACTTGATGCCGTGATGGAATGACGAGCTCAAGCACGCCCCCGATTAATTCAACACGTTTTCCAACACGGATACAACACGTTTTTCCACACGTCTGTACGACTTTACCTACCCCTACGCCCCGTCATGGCTGAGCTGCTCTACACTCCCATCACACACAACTGAGCCACCCGAATTATCGATCAGTAGACTATCACCAACATCCTTCGACTCCTTGTCCACTTAAAACACGCTGGTGTACCTTACCAGCATTGTCACTTTCTCGGCCGGAGAGTCAGGAGGGGCAGTGAGATCGAGGTCCGTCGCTGCCGCAGGCTCCGCGAATTCCTGAAGGTCGTCAGTGGCGCGCACATTCGGCAGCGCCGACTCGGGCACATCGTGCGTCTGCTCATCTCCAGCAGCGCACTCCCATACTTGCGGATCATATATTACGACTCCGTCCGGCAGCGCCGGTGCAGCCGCGTCTTGCTCCTGGTCACCAGCAGCAGCGCGCTCCCTCGGCAACGCCACAGCAGGGGCGTTCAGCTCCTGCTTGTCGTTATCGAAGACGATGGCGAAATCTTCAAGCTCATCGTCCGCCGCCTCCACCCGCGTGTACCAAGCCTGCGTGGTGGATGGAGTCTTGCGTGTTGTGCACCTGTCCTGTGTTGTTGTCCTCCGCCTCGTGCCTTCGGCGGAGCGGGCATTCGTCCCACCCGTGCTCAGTGCTGTTACGGCAGTATCTGCAACGTCCTTGACGGTTGCGGCCGGTATCCTGAGCCCGACCACGACCTACAGAGTTTCGGCTCCTGCGATCATTCCCGCGTCCGCCATGCGCATTTCCCGCGCTGTCTCCTCCGGAGGTTCCGTTGTTGTTGTTGTTGCCGTTCGACCCACATCCACTGGTCGAACCGTCTGCAATTCGGCCGCCATTACCTCGGCGGCGGCGTCCACCACGGCCGCCACGGCCGCCACGCCTGCGGAGACCACGTGCTCCTTCGTGCGCGACAGTGTTCAACGGACGGCCGTGGCTGCCTGAACCGTCACCATGGTCAGACATTTCTCCGCGAATTTGCATAGCATGATGCGAAGTTGCACGGCGCGCTATCTCCTCGAATACGAGACCATCGCTTCCGAGGATGGTCTTTCGCTCATCAGGACATTCTTGAACGAGCCATACTGTCCATAAGGGAGGGCTCGTAGTAGGGCACCTGCTTTCCATGTTTCCACAACTGTATCTCCTAACTTGTCCAGTTCGAGGCAGATGCGGCGCAACTGTTGAATCGCTCGGGCCGGGTCGTACTTGTCGGCTGCAGTGACCATCACGGAAGTAAGCTCCTCATGGAGCTGTTGCATGCGAAATACACCCTCAACACGGTACTTCTGCTGGAGAGCTACGAGCGCACCTCGTCCATCACCATACTCTTCGTCACCGACTGGCCCATGCTGCTGTACCACTTGCGAAGCAGGACTGGAGTATCCATCCGGGCCATCAGACGTGGCCAGAAGCAGTCTCGTGTACATTTTTCCCTTCTTTCCCTTGAACTTCAGGGCAATTTTCTCGTGTCCCGCGATTTGAGTGTTGGTCGCTCCCGCTGGCAAAGGCGCAGAAGCAATCTCCGCTCGCGACATGACCCTACTCAGTCCAGCTTCGGACATGAGGGACCGAGTCAGCGTGACCCAACCCTCGAATTGGGCCGGATCCCCGCTGAACGGCACATGACCCCGCTGGAGATGGTCCAATGATTGCGCCATGTTGACTCAACCTAGTTCCCCTACCGCGCGAGGCGCATGACCTTTTGGGCGTACTGGCGGGACCTCACCGCTGTTGTACGTTGTGGTTGGCGAATGTGACGCAAGAGGCTCGGGTAGAGAAACACAGTGTGATCATTATTTCACACATCGGCGTCCAAGCTGTCTTCACCTGACGGTTACAGACTTGGATACACGCCTTCACCATACTGCACCAAACCCTGCAGTAGAATAGAGTCAGTTCATGCACACAATTCTCCCAACAGGTCAACAGGTCAACGCTGTCTTCTTTGGCGTTTCCTCGCCTACTACTTCTTGCAAGCCTGTCTCCACCATATGACGCACTGCTGCATGAAGAGGTTTCGAAAGCAGAGCTTGGGCCCCAATGACTTGGTAGTGTTGACCAAATTCATTTCGGCTGTAGGTAGACAGTGGTTGATGTTCTACGTCAGGGTTTCCATCTTCGCGGGGTTTTCCCGCCTTCCCTGCTTCCAACAGGTAAACTCCTTTGAGGTCGGGGGTTAACTCATCACTTGTGGCAAGTTTAGCCCATGACTGCCCAACAGGTTTTTCAAGCTTGTCTTTAGTGACTATCTCTTTTAACTTCTTCAGCGAGTCAATCAGAGCCAGTCCTGTCGGTAGCTGGGCAAGCCGGGGTAGACATTGCTCAACTGTGTATCCTGTCGATGCTTGCACTGACTTGGAGAACACCAGCGCTTGC